TATCACTTTTGATTCACCCTAGCTACCTATCAATATTCTACTATACTATTTTCGGGCGATCACTGGCCTCCACACGTAATTTTACCAAGTAGTTTACTTTGAATATCATCTTTGTTCTTGGTTTTAAAAGGCTGAATGCATGGAAACACAAGCGCACTCATGACGATATCTGTGGTTTTTAATACAATTGCTGATGTGACAATTTCAGCTCCAAATTGTACATTCACCCACGTGGTTCAGTCGTTTGTGTGTACTAGGAAATGTATTGCAAGCATAGCAATCTCGTGGGATTGAAAGACGCCTTAACTTTGAAGTCTCTTGCTGCTGGATCAGGAACCTAAATTGTGAAGTCCTGAGTGTCCCCGTCAAGAATTTCACTGGTGGTATACGAAGAAAAATGAGTATGTTAACGCACGGCGCAATGCGCCGTACGCTTGTCGAATGGTAAGTAACATACATCAAATGGTCATTTGATATCTGAAGGAGATGGCATCAAAGTCGGAGGCTATACATACATGACATTGTCGGTTACTGGGAGGACACACGACTGTCACTTGGAAGCTACTAGCACTGTCTCTGACTTGGATAATTATGGCATGATCAATGGGAACGAAGCTTCAACGCATAAATTTCAAGTGAGTTCACCAAACAGAAAGACCATCTATACATGGCCAAGTATACACGAAGGCTGTTGAATGGTAAGCGAAGTACCGTGGTGAAGCCAAGGTACATTGCTGCAACGATACAATGTCCGAGCACAGTCTAGCTCCTCTGGACGCAGTCACAAGCGGTATACCACTGTTAGTCATTAGACACGCAGAAAAGGTCGCCTGAAGACTCAACATATGATACAATCAGATGTGTCGCCTGCTTGCAGGACATAACCAGTTGTAGTGCAAAAAGACGCGCGGGCCGATGATGCGTGGCAATATTATCAAATAATTGAGATTGGTCAATGGGGCACCATTGTGCTTGGATATGCTAGATAAACGAAAGACAGTGTGATCATAGCAATCCGAATATTTTCTAATTGTCGCGGTAATCACAAGACTGAAGCATGATATTGTGAGATGAACGCCATGGGAAAATGTACCGAATTCAAAGTCCCGCCGATGATACTTCAGACGGTCGAATGGAAGTACACGACTTTGCCAATCGATAACACAGTCGCGGCATCGGGAAGATAAGTAACTGGGGTCCCGGATCGACGCATAATGGATGTCTCTTGTAGCGCGGGAAGACACGCGGTGTGCTGATGCTGTAGCACTAGATATAAGAGGGCCAATGATATGTACTTGGTACGCAACACACGAATGATGAAGGCTGTGCTCAATCTATAGCTTGTTTTTGCGCATTGCACAATGGGAAAGAATGTTCACATGCTTGCTCAGATGAACACATCCTCGTTATGTGCAATTTACGAACCTTGAATCCTTTCATGGAGGATTCACATATAATAGAAGAAAATCAGCCTTCATAAGGGCTGGCATCGACATTTGAAGCAGGGCGCAAACTTACGGTTGTTCATTCGGATTAAGCTATCCTCGTTGTCTGCAACATACGAACCTTGGATCTTAGCTTCAAAATTGTGGACCTTACTTCTGCTGTCACAATTTTAATTTGTCTAGATCTTAGCTTCAAATTGTGGACCTTACTTCTGCTCTCGCAATTTTAATTTGTCTAGGTCAACTGTCAACTTTAACTGCACCTTTCCTTCAAGTCTGAGTTTAAGTGATGTTACCACCTTTTCCCGATTAGTGCTGCCATGGTCCGGTCCTGAACCACGGTTCGAACCTAACCAATGGTCAGGTTCGTCCTTGGTTCGGTTCATGGTTCCAAATTTTGGATGGACCGAACCGGAATGAGGTTTGCAGTCCGCCATCTCCTGAACGGTTCGAACATAGGTTCAGACCTTCCCGAACCGTTCCGAACCCCGAACCGAAGCATCCTTGCGATCATCAACAAAACAACACGAAAAAACATATATGACCAGGTCAGGTGAGCTAGCCAGCACATCATGGTTCGCAATGTGAGTAGCTTTGACGGTTCTATATGCACAAGATTATTTATATACATATCAGCTCCCTTGGTCTACCGCAAATGAAGATCTCATTGAGTTGTTCGAGACTACTGGGCAAGTTGAGCTCGCTGAAATCCTTTTCGATGGCGCTAGATCCAAGGGATGCGGTGTTGTTCAGTTTGCCCAGGTTCCAGAGGCGGAGACAGCTATTGGTGAGTTGTTTTGTTCGTCTTGATTTGCACATGTTAACACATCCTTCAGTACATGTATGGTGGACGCCCTCTCGACGTTCGGTTCAACGATCGATGGCATACATTTACACCTACTGCCGCAAAGGGCGGTCAGGTGATTCCCATGCAGGCGGAGTGATCTATTTGTCCATGTAACCCCTTCGATATGGAGCATCGCGCCAGGTTACCGGATGAACTAGGTTTATTCTCGACTTTATGCACTATCCGTGCAGACGCATTGAAAATCGCCGAGAAACTCATGCCTAAGAGTCCTCTTTAGGGATTCTTGTGATGGTGCTCGTGTGCCTTGAGTGTGAGACATCCGTACCATACCTCATTTAATGTTGTCTCACAGAAAATGCCAGGTATCTTTCTCATTCGAACATATGCATTGTGGGGTCAAACGAGGCGGATTCTATGTGTTCTGGCTGGGAGCTACCTGGTGCGTTTTCCCATGTCTGCATGCTCGTCTGGCTGAGATATGCTCAGGTAATTCTTGCGGGGGCGTTTAGTTGCCTTGCATTATATGGAGTCGCTATGCGGAGATGATCATGCGGAGCACTGGAAACCATCTGTTTTCATTTGTGAGTGGTATAGAGCAGTCAGCTTATTGACGAGGACTCAACAAAAAAAAATCGTTCGCTACTAGATATTTTAGGGTTCGGTTCACATTCGAACCAAAAAAAAAACCGAACCTGACCGCTCCGAACCGTTCACAAAGGTTCAGTCCAGGGTTCGTTGACTCTGATAGAACCGGACCCAGGTTTGGTTCTCGGTTCTTGCTCAACCTCCGCTGAACCGGACTGAACCGGACCGTGGCAGCACTATTCCCGATCATACACTTCTGTAAGAAAATCAGTGCCATTTATAAGGCCAAATATAGCGATGTAATCCTCGATAGCAGGATTGTGCTAGTTCTTGTGATTATGTACTATATATTGTGATATATGACCTTCTACTTTCTTCACCAGTTCACTGATGGACTAGCACTTTTCCATCAGCAGAAAGGGCTGCGGACTCTACACCATCTTCATGCTAGAGGGGTTGTCCGATCGGGAGATTCGTGTCGAGATTCCATAGACACGCTGATTCAAATGATGCACATGCAAGGATGCGGTTGTTCTGAGACAAGGTGATGATGTCAACACTGTCTGTGTGACCCTCAAGAACGGCAATCTGTTCCCAAGTGGCTGTGTTGAATATCCTAATTAGGTCGTATGAACCAGAGAAAAGCTTCTTTCCGTCTGACGTCCATTCCAAGCTTTCAACTGTGGAATCGTGTTTGAGCGTGGTGATCAGCTCGCCCGTCTTGCTATCCCAGATTTTGACTGCATTCTCGTCATCTCCGCCTGTCGCAATTTTTTCGTTATCGGGCGAGTACATCACCGCGTTCACCCACTTGTGCCCGGTTTTGATTGTCAGGACAGTTTCACCGCTTTTGACATCCCATACTCTTGCTGTCCCATCATGGGATCCGCTCGCTACTCGCTTACCATTTGCACTCCAGCACAATGACCACACAACATTGGTGTGTCCCGTCCATTTGGAGATAACCTTCCTCGTCTCGACGTCCCACAACCTTATTGTCCCGTCGCTGCTTCCACTTGCAACTGTCTTGTCGTTTGGAGACAATGCTATGGACCACATTCCTGATTCATTCTCATCTTTCCAGTCCTCGCCTATCTGTGCCCCGCTCTCTAGGTTCCATAGTCGGAGTGAGCCGTCATCTGAACATGTGATTATGTGTCGTCTGCTGGGTAGATGGATAACACCTATCACCTGTTCAGTATGACCTCGCATCGTCTGGCGTGGAGTGATTTCTGGTGCCTCGCGGGTGGAGGATGACATGATCGGCGCTGGGGATTCCAAGTACTGCAGATCGAGCACTATCTGTGCGACAGATGTCTGCCGAGATCTTTGTACAAGACTGGGATTCCAGTCGGCGATGAATGCTGGTGATTTCAGGGGCCCACTTTTTTCATGATAACGCTTGTCAGAAGCATACACGCCACTGCTAACGAGACAGTGTACTTACGGGAATTCAGTTTTCGCCTACTAGACGACAACTTCGGGACTGTATATGCAGGACTTGCTGTGCCGTTATTCGAAAACTTGCCAGAGATCTTCGTGGGTATCCGAAGCCGCCGGTAAGCAAGTGGCCAACTTTAACCTGCAGAAGAGCCTATAGTACAACTCACGAAAAGCGCTGTTTAGACGAACACAGTGCTCAAATCACCCCAGCGATTAACGGATGTCTCGTTGGGAGAGGAAGAAGCTGGGCGCTCTTCCGTTCAACTCGTCGTTTCTAAATTAGGTGCGTCCCATGCGTCAACCATGTGTTTGATTCACAACTTCATTGCTGTGTAGATGAAGCGCTCAAATCTGCGACTGGCGCTATGTCCATCTTCTTGTGCGTAAGGGACCTCATGCTGGCGACAAAGTTTGGGGCCGTTCAAATGCTCGTATTTTCCGGCACAGAATCGAACATGGATACAGGAGAATTGAATGGGGAATGGAGGCAAAATGAGGAATGTATTGGGATGCGCTGGCGGTTATCGTTATCAGGGATTTACTAGGTTTACCATGGTCCGTAGTCATATATCAATTCGCACTCTCGGGCAAGTCTTCCTCTCTTCGTCGGTCATACACAACGACTTTATGCCAACTCGACACGCTCCTGTTTCTTGTTCGTCTTCAGCGGGGCGATTTCGACAAGGGTAATTCCGTACCTCACGAACTGATGTACGTCATACCCGTTATATCAGTCGCCCCAAAATATTATCAAAGGTGACGAGACTCGGACCAGGGAACTAAGGACGGGAACGGACTCAGTCTTGGATCGAAAGACTGATGATTAACTATGAATCATACCTAAGGACGGGAACGGACTTAGTAGGGTAGTAGTTAGTAAGGGTAGAGTAGAGTCGTTAATAAGAAAGCTCACCTCAGTCTTGGATCGAAAGACTGAGGGAGATTATTCGACGAGAGGAAGAATTAATACGTTGATTGAGACGGAGAATCAATAGGGAACGTGTATGATGCATGGTAGGAGGAGTGATTGTGTATGTAAGAAGGAAAGGATAAGCACGTGTAAGAGTCATATCTTGATACTCCCACTCAGACGCAAATCGCTAGAGGTGCGTGTGTACCTATTCAGCTGATTCTTCGTTTGAAGGGGAACGGAGGGCAAGTGAGTGACGGTGGTTGCGGAAAAGTTTTCGTGGCAAGGATTTCGTGAAGATGTCGGCAATCATATCATGTGTGGGCACATATGGGATGATGATGGTCCCATCGCTAACTAGATCTCGAATGAAATGATAACGAACGCGAATGTGCTTTGCCCGGTCGTGAAATTGGGGGTTTTTCGTTAGCGCGCGACTTCCGTTATTATCGCCGTATAGCGTGGTGGGGGTGATGAGCGAGAGGTCAAGACCAAAATCACATAGTAGCTGACTGAGATGAATCTGCTCGCGGGCAGCATTGGAGAGGGAGATGTATTCTGCTTCAGTGGACGAGGTCGCGACGACGGATTGTTTTTGGGAACGCCAACTGATGGGAGAGCCGAAAAGGTAGTAGACATAGCCCCCAATCGAACGGCTGTCGTCTTTGTCAGATGCGAAGTCAGAATCCGAGTACCCAACGAGTCCTTGGTTGGATAAACCAAAAGTCAGCGAGTGATGCGTGGTTCCACGGAGGTAACGAAGGAGATGGTGGAGTTGGTGATAGTGCTCTATGCCAGGGTTGCTTAAAAATTTTGACAGCGTCGATACTGCGTATGCGATGTCTGGACGACTAACGCGCATAGCAAAGTTAAGCTCCCCAACGACACGAGCATACGGCATGTGAGCGAATTGTTGCACTTCGGTTTGAGTGAGAGGTACAGACGTCTTCGTCAAGGAGATGCCTGGGACCATGGGGGTAGACACTGGTCGACAATCCGACATCTGAGTTTCGCTGAGGATTTGTTCGAGGAAGGAGGATTGGTTAACGGTCAGAAGCTTCTTGGAGCGATCACGCGTGATATGCATCCCTAAAAAATGACGCGCTTCGCCAAGATCCTTCATCTCAAAACGTTTGCCCATCTCCAACTTAAAACCGTTAAGGAAATCACGACAATTTGACGCGAGCAACATGTCGTCGACATAAACAAGTAGCCAAATGGTCTTGTCATCCTTGCGCAGGACGTACAGACTATAGTCCGCTTCACTGCGAACGAAATCGAAGCCTCCTTTTCGTAAGAAATCGTCGAGCGTCTTGTTCCATTGACGACCAGCTTGCTTGAGTCCGTAAATGGCTTTGAGAAGTTTCCAGACCCAGTCTGGGTGTTCAGAATCTTCGAAACCTGGTGGTTGACGCATGTAGATTTCTTCGTCAAGGTCGCCGTTGAGGAAAGCGGTCTTGACGTCCATTTGATCAAGTTCAAGGTCGAACTTAGCAACCAAAGAGAGTAGCGCTCGTACCGTATCGTACTTTGCGACAGGGGCGAAGGTGTCGGTATAGTCTAGACCTTCGATCTGCGTGAAACCCTGTGCAACAAGACGGGCCTTATGACGGGCAATCTGACCATTCTCGTCATATTTGTGCGAGTATACCCACCGTGAGCCTACTGCTTTTCTCCCTGATGGGAGTGGTGTTAAGACACCCACTCCTTTTTCTCCCAACGAGGCTAACTCTTCGTTCATCGCACTTTCCCAATGACCTGAATCCGTTGACGATCGAGCTGCAGATATCGTTTTGGGGGGAAGCTTCCGACCGTCAATTTTATTGTCGTCCGTCAAGGATACGTGTCTTGCAGAGTGTTCGATGATGACATTGGAGGTCGCAGTGGTAACACAATCTTGTTCTTCATCAACTTCCTCCTCGACAGTGACGGGGACGTAGGTCCAACGCCGCTGTACTGGAATATGTTTGGTCGGAATGGCGACAGACTTTGGAACCGCTGGTCGTGCGTCGATGCGTTGACGTGTCGAACGTCGTGGCTCAGGAGGTGGTGCCGTTTCTATGGGAAGTTCAGTAGTGACGGGAACTGGCAGAACATTGTCGTTTGACTGCGGGAATGGCTGTGGGGGTTCGAGGGTAAGAGGAGTGGATAACGGAAGTGCTCCCACTGAAACGGTACTGGGTCCTGACAATGTGATCTCAGAGCCGTCTTCTCG